TTAACACTTGATTTGCTGGTCAAATGTTTGTTGCTAGATCTGTGTAACACTTGATTTGTTGGTTAAATGTTTGTTGCTAGATCTGTGTAACACGTGATTTGTTGGTCAAATGTTTGTTGCTAGATCTGTGAAGGCACTTGATTTGTTGGTTAAATGTTTGTTGCTAGATCTGTGTAACACTTGATTTGTTGGTTAAATGTTTGTTGGCTGTCACATGTGTTTAATTTTTGTCATCATTGAGAAACAATATAAGTGATTTTTACTTTCACTTTTCATTTACTTACAAGTGATGTTTTCTTGGAATAGATTTAATTAGTTCCTCATGTGATTCTCTAAGGATTTATGTTCAATATGTTGGGTTTTCATGCTACACTGCATGTCCTATGATATCTCTGTTTGCTAGTATAGAATACCTTATATTTCTGAAGTTAATATTTTATAATTTACATTTATACATTCAGAATAGGCTCCGTTTCACAAAACAGTGTGAATGTACTGGTGGACAAAAAGAATATTGCTGATATACTGGGAGGACAAGGATAATATTGTTATATACTGGAAGGACAAGGATAATATTGTTATATACTGGGAGGACAAGGATAATATTGTTATATACTGGGTGGACAAGGATAATATTGTTATATACTGGGTGGACAAGGATAATATTGTTATATACTGGGAGGACAAGGATAATATTGCTTATTTACTGGGAGGACAAGGATAATATTGTTATATACTGGGTGGACAAGGATAATATTGTTATATACTGGGAGGACAAGGATAATATTGCTTATTTACTGGGAGGACAAGTATAATATTGTTATATATTAGTAGGACAAGGATAAAATTGTTCTATACTGGATGGACAAGGATAATACTGTTATATACTTGGTGGACAAGACTTGACCGGCAATTTAAGTGTGTTTAACACTAGATCTGTGAAGGCACTTGACTGGCTGGTTAAGTGTGTTTAGCACTGGATCTGTGAAGGCACTTTATTGATTGATCAAGTGTGTTTAGCACTAAACCTACAGAACATCACTGTATTGATTTAAATTGTAGATCTCTTGTATATCCCAGTTTCATAACTGATTAAGCAGGTTTAAAATTAGGCCTGAAAAGACATGTGGCTGCAAGTCCTTTAACTGCATGCAACTGAAGACCAGACAAACAACTGATGCTTTGTAGCAGAAAGTCAAACAGTAAGGGTAAACAAGTACACAGCATGTTCTGTTATAAAAGCAATGAACACAATTAACTCAACTGGAACACAGCATATTTATTTCTTGTATAAACTAAATCATTTCTGAGGTCACATAAAAGTGAATGTTTTTAATATCTGTTTTGTTTTGTTTCTGAAACTCATACTTTTCAAATAATTTGTGACATGTCACTCAAAAAAAAAATATGATAGAAAATTAAATTAGCACACTGTGAGTCCTTTGTCTTGAATCAAAGTCTACAGATGTATGTATACACACTTGAAACATTTGATAACGCAACCATGTAGTGTATATTAGAAATCTGCACTGCAAAACATGAAACAACGATACAGATTAGGTAATGATATAAATACCAGGATGTAGGGATCATAGAAAATAGCCAAATTAAACAAACATGTAGATAGAGATCAAATTAGTCTTTAGTTGAATTAAAGTAAAAATATATTTCAAAACAAATATATGCGTGTGTAAACAACAGTAGCACTATAATTTTCAAGGTATGAAAATACACAAGGTATAGGAACAAAAGAGGTATGAAAATATCCATGTAATTGGTTTGCTTTAACAAGAAAATAGTTATGTGGAGGCATCTGTTAAATGTTGTCTGTAAGTTGTCTTCTGAGTGTACGCTGGTTTATGTCTCTGTATGTGGATATACAAAATGTTGACGTCTGCAAAGATGTAAAAATGTGTGCTTAAACTAAAGCTTACGAGTCAAGACTGTGATTTGCAAACTGATGTAAACTATGACTAGTCACAGGAGCCTCATTAGTACACTTGCCTGCCCGCCAAATGGATGTGTGTTTGAATCTTTACTAGAGGTTTTTTTTTTTCACCAATATATGCTCCTAGGTAGAACCAGTGTAAAGAAAATTAAAAAAAAAAAAAAAATACAAATAAAAATTCAAAAATGTTAGCAATCCAACAGTGGTAGCAATCCCTACCAACACCCCTCCACACAGGTAAACAAAACTGCAACATCCCTTGATGCTGGCTAAACTTGATGAAAATCAACACATGAAATGATCACTTGTGATAGCCATGTTTAATACCAGAAAACAAAACCAAAAGGCAGAAGTAAGTCTGATGAAGATAGCTGAAGAAAATGTGTCCTCAAGTTGCCAGACATTAATTGTTGCATAACTATTATGAGTGCGCTGATCTAAAGTTACAGTGAAACAAGAAAATGTAGTTTTCATTAACAATGTTACATAACAAAAAACTTGCTTCCTGATTGCACCCAAAGCTCTTAGATTACTCAACAAATTGTTTTTTTTTTTTTTAAACAAAAACCTGACAACTAGTGTAACAGATGGTCTGCTTTGTTGTGACTGTAACTGCACCGACAGACCGTCTCCATTCTGCTAGTGATATGTCTGAGTGTCAATTTTTGTCACTTTACTATTTTTACTATCACATCCAGGGAGATTAACACATTAACAATAAGAATTCTTAAATGCTTTATATATTTAACACTACATATAAAACAGAAATCTGAACAATGAATAAGAAAGACACAAGGTTAATGCGGATACACAGAACAATATATTTCAGGGACACAAAAAACAGAGGTTCTGGAGACCGCAAAATTCAAATAGAATTAAAAGACACACACAAAAAAAAAAACAGACGTTAAATATTCTGTGCATAATAAAATGCTTGGAGCATTGAAAAGGCCAAATTTTGGAGGGGGAACTAAAGGTATGTGAGGAAGAGACAGTGCACAAGTGGGAAGATCACGGAACAGATAAACAGCAATCATGGAGTACACCCAGAGTTCTATATATAAAAACACACACACACAGTCATATATATAGTCTTCCTTTTCATTATCACTGACTAGTGTTGGGCCAATGTCATTGTCTATGCTTTTATAATAAATCAAGAGTGAGAGAGGAGTTCTGCAAACAAGTCTGACAGAAACAACACACTGCACAATCAACTTTACTGCCAAATTGTGACCGAAACTTGGCAATTTTCCAATGTAGTGTACCTTTGATATAAACTCTACATTTTGTGTTAGTACCTATGTATAAGCCACCAAGCGCCGATTGGTCTTAAAAAATATAGGTCTAGTCTTATATCCCCAATACGCCTTTAGGTGTGGAGAAGGCACCTTTACTTGTGTATAAAACATTCTTGAGCTTTAGCAAGCCACACACAAACATAAGGCAGGAAAAGTCTGTATACTCTACAGACAACTTTGTGGTCTATCATTTCTGACTCCAACTGCTTTCAAAGCCAACGTGTAGGTTTCCACGGCATCTAGACCCCAGCTTGGCCAGGGCAATAAAGTCACTCGGGTGTATATTAAATAAATTCAAGCCAATAAATCTAAGGGTGATGTGATCAATGGACAGCAACTAGATATTGTGGTGATGGTAAATGAGTGCTGCTGTAAGACACTCAACTAAAGGTGCGGATATGTAGCAGTAACAAAATACAAAAAAATAAACAATGGGTCCCCTTTTTGCGTCAATAAGTGTAATAGATATATGGTGCTAACTACGTAAATACAGACTGGCCAGTACTCAATCATCAACATCATATACCCTGTCGATAAGTGTAGGCTTTCATGTTTCACCATATCACACGACCACTAGAATCATGGATAAGGTCAGCTCATGTCTTGTTTTCAATGGGTAATGTAGGTAAAACCGCGACAGATATCTTTACTCCAAATAAAAATTTCGTGCCAAATATTTTAGGCTGGTGTGACCTGGCAGCTAAAAAAATTCCCTTATCTATGATGTATACATGACCATCAGGTTGCCAGGGAGGTCAATGAGCCATGAATAATACAAAACAGTTTGCAATAATCTTTCTCAGAAAGACAGGCTCAAAGACATGTGAATATTATTGAAACTTAGAAACTAGCAAATGATCTCAATAGGGATCACACAGGATGTTGCCCTCCAACCACTGATGCATGAAGAGGGTTACCTACTACCCACTCTATAACATAAAATATATCAAATATCAACCACAAAGAAAACATATCAATAGATGGATCACAATAACCTGCTCCTCTACAAGAAAACAGTAAACTATAATATATATATATACTGTGATACAGACAGATACATAAACGAACCCAGTACATTATTAAGTGACATTCAACAACAGCAAATAACACAGTTGAGTATGGCTGTATGTTGTGACTCTCTGAGATGTGTTTATGACTCTAAGTATGGCTGAGCTGTGTTCATGACTCGATGACTGAGTTTGGCTGAGCTTGGTCCATGAGTCTCTGAATGAGTATGACTGGGATGTGTTCATGGCTTGATGACTCAGCTGTGTCCCTGACTCTCTAGCTGAGTATGGCTGACCTGTGTCTGTGACTCGATGACTGAGTATGGCTGAGCTGTGTCTATGACTCTCTGACTGGGTATGGCTAGGCTGTGTCCATGACTCTTTGACTGAGCTGTGTCCATGACTCTTTGACTGAGCTGGGTCTATGACTCTCTAACTGGGTATGGCTGGGCGGTGTCCATGACTCTCTGAGTATGACTCCTTCACTAAATATGGATGGGCTGTGTCCGTGACTCTCGAGAATGGCTGAGCTGTGTCCATGACTCTGACTATGACTAGCCTGTGTTCATGACTCTGAATGAGTATGGCTGGAATGTGTTCATAACTCTCTGACTATACATTTCTGACTGTGCATGTGTGCAAGTATAGTTTGTTCAGAAGATCTAGGGTTGGAGAAAAAGATTATAATAATTATTATTTAAACAAAACAAAAAAACCCAGATGAGCTTCACATCTTAACTGTCATCAGATGCTTGTAATGGAATACTTCTTCTTGCCATGCTCGTTAATCACACAGATGTGCTGAAAGAGAAAATAACAACGCATCACATCATTTTGTTTCCCCAAACTTGTACACAGTCAATGACATTTTTGATCATCATTAATTAAACCAGTAATTTTATAGGAAGTATTTTTAAAACTGGCATTAAACAATGTTTAAGTGCTAATCACTTAGTATTTACTATTGAGCAAATATGAGACCTGGACTTCAAGAAGACAAAAAATAACTACCTGCCAACAGCAGACATAAAATAGACAGAAAAACTAAAGCTAGCCTTGTGAAAAAAAAAAAAACATTGACAACTGCAAATTAATTAGAGAAACAGATACACAATCAAGATGTTTGGACAGGTTACCGAGAGAACAGTTATAAAAACTTACAGAAGTTATATAACTGTGATAGGAAAAAAGGCAAGAGGAAGACTGGCAGATAAATATCTAGGTAACCTGGGCAACCTACATAACTGGACCAAGTACACAGACCTAATCAATGAGTGTAGTGATCATGTGAGGTGACAAACCATGATTGTCCACACACATATTGCTACACCACATGAAGATTATGAGTGCCAACAACGTGACACAACATAGCCATGACTCAAATGTCCCTCTCAGGTTTGGAGGAAGTCTTGAGGATGTTTCTTCCCTTTCTACTTCGTCACATTCACCGGCTGTAAACTCTGGTGGAAAGTTCTGGCTGCCGAACACTTCTAGAATGTACTCTTGTCTCAGAACTTAAGTTTTCTGTACACATCTGTTTTACAGATCTGGCTTATTTGTATGCAGACTGCTGATTCCTTGTATTTCAGGCACATGTACTCTAACTTGGAAAGAAAATCCCCTGATTAGTCAATCTTTACGACATGCTTGTTAGAGGGCAGTGGAAATATTAATCCCCCACCCACCCCCTCAATGGAGTGTAGAATCCACATGGGCACTTCCCCTTATGATTTCCTCTCCCAACGGAGCACTGGTCCTCAACCAACTCACCTCCATCACCTTATGGATGTGTTTTGGACTGGTCAGTGTTTGCATCCCAGTTTTCATGGAGCGAGTGCATCCCCTACAGACCTTGGGAACACTGAAGGGCCTGACTAGTACCACAGCTTTTATGGGACCTTTCAGTATAGCGAGGAACAGATCAGAAAACTAACTGCTGCTGACATGTTTGTTTCCTGCCAGGTTTTGCTGATGCAAATTCCCCATTTCTGGACCGGGACTCTTTAGGTTTCATTGTCCAGCTACTGAGTCGAGTGCTTGGTGGTAATACTGTGTGCTGCAAACTGTTTTTCTGTTGTGCCTGCAGCATGTTCTTAACTGCACTAAAATTATGGGTGGCCATTATGTTCAGAGTTGCATGTAATTTTGCAGGTTCAAAACCAGCTTTCATTACTGACCATTTGGCCAACAGTGTCCTGCAGATCTGGTGTGGCAATCTGACAGCAGTAGTTTTACTTTGTGGGTGCAAGCTTCAGTATTCTGCTGGTGACAGCAGATATTTCACTTTGTGGGTGCAAGCTTCAGTATTCTGCTGGTGATAGAGTAGTTTTACTTTGTGGGTGCAAGCTTCAGTATTCTGCTGGTGATAGAGTAGTTTTACTTTGTGGGTGCAAGCTTCAGTATTCTGCTGGTGACAGTTTTACTTTGTGGGTGCAAGCTTCAGTATTCTGCTGGTGACAGTTTTACTTTGTGGGTGCAAGCTTCAGTATTCTGCTGGTGATAGAGTACTTTTACTTTGTGGATGCCAGCTTCAGTATTCTGCTGGTGACAATTTTACTTTGTGGGTGCAAGCTTCAGTATTCTGCTGGTGATAGAGTAGTTTTACTTTGTGGGTGCAAGCTTCAGTATTCTGCTGGTGATAGAGTAGTTTTTACTTTGTGGGTGCCAGCTTCAGTATTCTGCTGGTGACAGTTTTACTTTGTGGGTGCAAGCTTCAGTATTCTGCTGAGCCTGACAAAGTTTTCACTGGTTTTCTATCGGAACAGTGAAGGAAAGTTTGTTTGATTTCAACAGGCACAGGAAACTAAGCTGTTTTGCGGCAACCCATCTGTGGGTATGTCAGACCCTGGCTAATGACTAAGACTAAAGTTTCGAAAATTTAGCAGACAAGTAGATAATAATAATCTTATAAAAAAAACACATGGTAGGCAAAAGTTGAAAGCAAACAAGCAAGAGGAAGAAAGCAATACAAGCTACAGGATAACATCAAGAGATAAAGATGTGCAGCAATCAAACAGAGTGTACATCCAGGATGAGACAGGCTATGTTGGAGAACCACTGTAGCCTAATCTCATTGTGCAGGAGGCACCTGACTGATTTATTCACAAGTTCCCAAACTAAAGCCACAACCCGAAATTGGGCCGTAAAGGGTTTTCTGTGGGGTCACCGGGAAGTCATGAGCTATGAAAATGTTAGAGAGAAAACAAAAATCACACATCCTGTCTGCACAGAAAATCTACTTTGACTGTTTTTCATTTACCCCATTTAAAAACCTATTTTAAGGTATGGGGTCACTGCACCTCTATAAATGGAGTGGCGACTTGAAAAAAGGATGGGGGCTGCAGGATTAATTGAACAGAAAAGTGTTATAAGAAGCATTTGGCTATGAGTAGGATGTGGCTAGGGTTGGAGTCAGACCAACCCAATTTCTGGTGAGAGATGAACTTGTATTAAAAACAAAAAAGACCATATTTTTTAAACATTAGTTTTGTATCATTTAAAGAACATTGCAGAATCAAAATCAACATTTTTGTCTGTGAATTTATTAGGCAATTTTACATTTAGTAGTTAGCTATTTCCCACTAAATGGTCAGAGCTCCATGCCACTGTCTTAATTCAATGCAAAGGCAGACTGCTGCCAAATCCCCTGCAGCTGGAATCAAATTGGGTACTTCAATATTACAAAGACAAGTATCAGTCTCGCTGATACAACTTTAGAGCTAATTAGTGGATCTACTTCTGATATTTTTATGGATATATGAGTTGAAAACAATATAGACTCCTTTACAATTAGTCTAGAGATTACGTTTTTTGGGAAGCTAACTAGTTTTATTCTCAATTTTAGTAGACTTCTATAATACTTACACCAAGGTCTCGGAAATATTCATTGAAGTCGAGTGCATAGCCAACCAAGAACACATCTGGAACTTCAAAGCCGATATCTACAGAAGACAATAAACAACAATAAAGGTATTTTACACAGATTTCTTGTGTGGCAATGCAACAATTATATACATTTGGAGCCCTGATGCTACTGAGATTATGGCCCACTTGCTCACAAAAATAAGGGTTATGGCCGAATTAGAGGCAGGATTATTTTTCCCTGACCAGTGTGGTTCTAAAATTCAACTACCGTCATACAAATGAGCATGGGTAAATTTTAAACATCTGTGGCAGGAGTTTCCTGGGAAGTAAAGGCAACAAGGAATGGAGCTGGTCATTCCACCTCGCCTCGTACACAGGGGATGGGAATACTTAAAGACCTAAATACTGATGGGTGCTTTTATATTTACAGAGCTACCAACAGCTCTCAAAATACATTTATATAAGCAAACAAAGCACCTCACTGGTTGAAGGATAGATATAACACCCACTTTCTGTCATGGGTGCCTGTCTTCAGTGAGTTCATGTATAACACAACTTACATGATACAGCACCATAACACTACATCCAAACATGAGTTGTTTAAATGAGAGTGTACATGGTGCACATGGGAGAAACAGTGTACCAGAGAGAAAGTCTACATGACAGAAATATGTGTATACATAGGAAAAATTTTACAGGCCAGAACAACAGAAACAAAATTTACTACAGGCTTCGAAGCTGAAAAATATAACAAATAAGGAAATATGTTTATATAAAACAGAGAGCTGTAAAAATATAACAGACAGGCAAGGATGCAAATAGTAACAGTAGTAAGCCAATAATATTATTCTCTCTTTTTCTTTTTAATGTTTATTGGCAGTAAATTCCAGCAAAAAGTCTTGGTTGTTCATACTTCTTCTTCTTCCTTGTTTACTGGTTGTCAGGTCCAGTGGAAAGTTATAGTTGTTTGTATTTCCTTTGTTTACTGGCTGTAAGCTCCGGCGAAAAGTTATAGTTGTTTGTATTTCTTTTTTGTTTACTGGCTGTAAGCTCCGGCGAAAACTTATAGTTGTTTGTTTTTCTTTTTTGTTTACTGGTTGTAAGCTCCGGCGAAAAGTTATAGTTGTTTTTATTGCTTTTTTGTTTACTGGATGTAAACTCCGACGAAAAGTTATAGTTGTGTGTATTTCTTTTTTTGTTTACTGGCTGTAAGATCCGGTGGAAAGTCCTAGTTGTTTGTATTTCTTTTATTTTTTTTTTTGTTTACTGGCTGTAAGCTCTGGAAGAAAGTCATAGTTTATATTTCTTCTTTGTTTACTGGCTGTAAGCCGAGACGGAAATTCCTGGTATTTCATCGTTTGTGCCAGTACCCCAGTTTTGTGTGTACATCTGTTTTACTGATTTATTTGTGTGCAGTTAATTGTTTCTTGCCGCTCAGGTAGATGTAATCTGACTTTGAAAGAATCCCCCAATTAGTTGACTCCAACGACATGCTTGTTGGGGAGACAGTGAGTCTATTCTTGTTTTTCCCACAATGGGGTCCCAGTTCCCACACAGGGAAGTTGTTAAGACACTTCAGGACGTTTTATCCTGTTCCAGAGCAACAGTTTGTGTGTGTGCATATCCATTTTCCAGATGTGGTTAATTTGAATGCAGTCTGTTGGTTCCTTGCTTCTAAGGCAGATGCACTTGGACTTCAAAGGAAACGCCCCTAATTAGTCGCCTCATATGACATGTTTTTTGAGGGAGGGGACAGTGTGTATATTCCTTCTTCCTCCAAATGGAGCTCCCAAACCCGTATGGGGATAAAAAGTATTTTATCATAGACTTCTTCTCTGTTCTCATGCAGACTGGCTTCTCCCTGTCAATGTCTCTAATTACAGTGGTTAGGGTCACTTTCATTAAGTTCAAGGTGAAATGGAGTCAGCTGATGACATGTTTGTTTATGCTCAGTGATGTCAGTTGAAAGTGTAACTTATAAATAAATCTACACCACGTTCAGCAAATTATTAGAAGATTGAGCTGTCTACATTGTGCTGCACTAGATGATTTAAAGAAATGTGTGAGCATGCAGAATCCTAACAATCGCTTCAATGATGTAACCAGAGGAAGAAAAGCAGCTGTAAGTCAACCATTTTTGTGACTACAGTATGTTGAAAACTCCTTAAACTTTATAATGTGTGCCCACTCAGCTAAGGGGCTTAGATGTCAACAGTTACATCCAACATCTTTGAGTTATCACCCTTGGTGTTCCCAGGACTATATTTATCATCGGCAACCACTAGGGTCAATAATTTCACTTGCCAGCCAACAACGTGATGGTTATTGGGAATACACCAGTTAAGTGATTTTGTGTATTCTGGTCTGTTCTTCTAGTTGTGCTGATTTATGAATCTAGATTCAATGTTCACTTGTCATTTGTGTTTGAGATAATGTGACTGGTTCTACCTTTAGTTTGTTTTGATTTCTTGTAAGTTAAGCAGAGCAGTAGGAAGTGAATAACAGTGAAGAATAAAACAGACACTTTTCAGTGCTGCCTAAAATCAGCAGAATAAATGATGCATGTAAAAAGAATAGAACAGAAATATAACTTACAATCAGGCAAAAAAGCCACACCCTTCTTAGTTCTCTTTACCAACAAACTGCAGAAGAAAGCATGTGGAAAAAAACAACAACTATGAACAACACTACATATCATTATAATTTTCATCTGTGCTTACTTTTCATAAATGAACATCAATGTAAAATAAATCCTCTCCCGAAAGCTGAGATATTTGAGACATGTCAAGTGCAATTGTGGTCCGGAAAGAACAGTGCTGGAGGGTGCAATTTCTGGGAAACGAGGTGGAGGCTGACCTCTGCTTATGTGGATAGAGGACACTGAGGATACATCTGCTATGAAAGCACACAGGGCTGCAGAACTGGCTAGTGAAGAGAGGACTTTCTGTAAAGGATTTGCTGACTGAGGATGATGTAGAAAAAATTAAAAGTAAAAGATCTGTTTCCATCCCTTGAGGGGCACTCGACATTTGGTCTTCTTCTCCAGTTACCATAACAAAGTGTTGTGGGAGAGATGTAAGGATATCCAGGTTTTTTTCTTTCTAATACACTGTATATGTTGACTGTCATTTCGGTACGGCTGTCCTTGACGGTGTCATTCCATATTTTGCAAGTCTCCTCCTCCCAGTGCTAACTATATTTATTCAGCGTGGCTCTCTGTGGCTGTTGGTAGCAGGGCTTGGCAAATGGGGCTAGCCTGATATTCTTCATGTGATAATTAGGACCTGCTGGATTATGTGGTCAATACAGCATTGTCTACCTTCACTCTGGTAAACAGCTGTGGTGTAGCGGCTAGACACTAGCCTGCGGATCCAAAGGCAAAGGGATCAGGTCCTGATGGAGCCAGAATTTCTTCATAAATGATCTCGGCTCACAGGTAAACACAGCCTTCAATGGGTACCAGGTAAAGTCCTGGGAAGTGAAGGTTGCCAGCGTCATGTTTATCCCATCAGCCCCTGAGTGCCGATTGGTCTATATAATATAGTTCAAACCCTATGTGCCTGAAATTGTGAAAAGGGGTCCTTTACTTATTTGACTTTCTCTACCTTTACTTATTTGACTTTCTCTACCTTTACTTATTTGACTTTCTCTACCTTTACTTATTTGACTTTCTCTACCTTTGCTTATTTGACTTTCTCTACCTTTGCTTATTTGACTTTCTCTACCTTTGCTTATTTGACTTTCTCTACCTTTGCTTATTTGACTTTCTCTACCTTTGCTTATTTGACTTTCTCTACCTTTGCTTATTTGACTTTCTCTACCTTTGCTTATTTGACTTTCTCTACCTTTGCTTATTTGACTTTCTCTACCTTTGCTTATTTGACTTTCTCTACCTTTGCTTATTTGACTTTCTCTACCTTTACTTATTTGACTTTCTCTACCTTTGCTTATTTGACTTTCTCTACCTTTGCTTATTTGACTTTCTCTACCTTTACTTATTTGACTTTCTCTACCTTTACTTATTTGACTTTCTCTACCTTTACTTATTTGACTTTCTCTACCTTTACTTATTTGACTTTCTCTACCTTTACTTATTTGACTTTCTCTACCTTTACTTATTTGACTTTCTCTACCTTTACTTATTTGACTTTCTCTACCTTTACTTATTTGACTTTCTCTACCTTTACTTATTTGACTTTCTCTACCTTTACTTATTTGACTTTCTCTACCTTTACTTTGCAGAACATTTCACAACATCTATATTAGGCAGGGTTAACATAGAAGCCTGTGTAAATTTTAAAAATCTTGCCCTTGAGGAGATTCAAACCTACGACCAACAGGTGGCAGGCATGACAAATACTGTACCACCATGGCTTCCAACAGCAAATTACCCACTAGTCATCACTCAGTCATTAGTGTGCTTGCATGCTAAGCCAGAGGGCCAGGTACAATTCCTAGCAACAGAGATGATATTTTGGTCCAAACTGTTTAGGTCTAAGACTGATCCAAACTAAACAAATGGGCAACAGATCATTCACAGGGAAACAACGAGGGAAGAAACAGGTGAAGGCCAAACAAACAGTTCATACTCCGATGACTTCCTGTGTTTGTTCTGGGATTCCACTTCCTGGGGAAACAAGAACACACTCCTGCCCCCTTCACAAGCATGTCATATAAGACAACCAATGAGAAGTATCAATTTTTTTTAAAAGTCATAGTTTATCTGTCTGAGAGGCAAAGAACCAACAATCTGCATGTAAATAAGTCAGATCTGCAAAATAGATGTGCATGAAAAACTCAAGTTCTGGAACAAGACTAAAGCCCAGAAGTGGACGAACAACCAGAACTTTCCACCCGAGTTTACAGCTGGTGAATGAAGAATGAATGTTCAATTAAGAGAGCATTAAACAAAGCATAAAACTGCAGCTCCAGTGACAACCCCAGAGGTCACCAAAACAAACCCATGAACCAAACAACAATTGAAAAAGCACGCACCCACAACCATTAGAGCATTAGGCAAATGACTGAATCCCTGAGCCATGAAAATCCATATTAGCATTTTAAGCCCGGTCCCTGCGACAATGTTGGATAGCTAGTAAGCTTACAAGTACAGAGTCACTTGCCAGTTACATAAATACACTAAATATGCCAGGAAAGCCTGCAAGTGCTGGCTCTCACAGAGCAGCTGGCACAGATTATATGCCCCACTCAAACTGTGGTAAACATCCTTCACTGTCTGATTACACATTCTGTCATAACAGTTCACAGCTGCAAAACACATTACCAACATTTATATATCAACTAGAAATACACCCTAGCCTGAATACGTCAAGAAAAACTATGTCATTACTTTACACAGTGGCAAACGAGCACGCTTCTCTCTAGTGTGCATTCAATTAACATTATACTCATCATTATCTGCCCCTGTGGATTCCAGTACCCCATATTGGGAGAAAGAAATTTATTTTCTCCAGATTCTTATGTAGCTTTACATACACAAAATATTTTAATTGCTGCCATTTTAGACTTAGCAACATGTCATTGCCTTCAATATTAAGTGTTTTATTCGTTGGATAGATCTGTTTCTTCTTTTATCTATAAAATGAAATAGGAAACCCATCTGCAATATTTATATTCAAAGAGCAGAGGCTATTTCAGTAATAATTCAAACGTTTTAAGTTTTATTCAAGTACACCAATACAGGAAATATACTTGATCGCAGAACAATGACTTTTGCTTCTCCATCTGTTTCCATCAATAAAGTTTTACTGCTATATGTTTTGCAGAGCCATTTTTGTCTTTGAGATTTCTCATTTCTGTAACAAATAAGGAGTGTATATTCAACTACTGTCAGGTACAATTTCATCTCCTCTCCCTCACCAGTGCAAGGCCAAACTTCCTGTGCAGAAAATTACTCAAAAGCTTTATTGTACTTGTCTTTGTGCCATGTGGCAATTATTGTATTCAAACTGATGCGTGGAACATTTCAGTTTTGTTTTTTAGATAAAGGGCACAAGATACCATCGGATAAGCTGCTTAAATTCTATTCAAATACAACCTTTCATAATTCTTTTCTCCTAACCTCCCACACACCAGTTACCTTTCTTTAAAACAAATTTTTTTTTGCGGTTTAAATACACTGATAAGGTCTCATTCCTCTTGCAGCACTGTTAGCTTCTTTTCTCAATCACTTGATGGCTGCAAGTCTTCAACCACCACATATCTTACATCTTCTATTTACAATGTTCAGTTTATTCATGAATTCTTTGACTACAAATAAATTCATCACACAGGCTCTAGAGGATTCATCCATTCTGTTCTATTCTGTGTCAAGATTCACCTTTTTAGTTATTTTTGTATGTGCTATTTGACAGACTCCCCCCTCCCCTCCCATTTTTTTGGCTGTGATGTCAATTCTTGACTCAACCTCCTTTCTTGTTTAAAACAATTGTACATTTCAAATTTGTTTATTCTTTTCATCAATGGCCATTGAAAAAAAAAGGAAAAACAAATAAATTCCAATAGCATATATCTTGGGGTCTACTTGACATGTAGTTACATCCGAATTATTAATATTTAAAAAAAAACATGAACATGAATTCAAAGGTGATGTGGTCAACATTACACTGACTGCCGGCACCTCCCAGAACATTGCACAGTACCCAAGTTTTGACTGGACTAACCAGGAACCCCCTGGCAAATTTTAGAAACCAGCTTCAATGAAGACTGACAACTATGAGGAGGTGTTAACTGTCAATGTTGTAGAAGTTACAGCATACCTGGCGACTTTGATACATTTTGGCTGAACAGAGCGAAGTAATTCTAGAAGCTGTTGCATAGTTCTTCCTGTATCAATGATGTCCTCAACGACCAGCACATTCTAGGAAATAAAATATCACACTAGTACATTATGATACCAACAAAGATCCTGTTTTGCAAACACTAAAAGGCACAAATTATCAGCCATAAAACCCTGATCTAAAACATACATCAAATTATGTGACTCTGTGGAGTACCATGTTGATATCTGATACATATTAATAATTCATGAAAATAAATAAGGTTAAGAAGTTTATGTAATGGAAAGGATAGTTATTCACAAAAATTAATTTTTAATGATTCTTATGTCTTTTTTTTCTCTTCAAACTACTGTATTTGTCAGTGTATAAGATCCCTCCCTTGTATAAGATGCACCTAAAAATTGAAAATCCTTTTCTAGAAAGAAAAAAAATAATTTCTATCCTCACTTCAATCAACAAATATTCTTGCGATTTTTCATTGTTTCCATGTCATACACGCTGTTCTACGTTCATTTTGCACAATTCCTTAAGGTTTCTTCCATCAGTAGAGGTCCAAAACGACTTCCTGTTGACCTTTTGCTGTGTTTTTCAGCATGCTGTCTCCCACTGAAGTTAACAGTCGCGGTGTAGGAATACTGCTTGCTGTCCTTTTCCATACCGCAGGCTACTATGACAAATAATGGTGCATGTAGACCTACCTTCATTGTGTAAGAAGCAGCCTACTTTTAAGGCCAATGTTTTACAACAACAAAATGGTGCCTTATACACTGACTTCACTAAACTGATACATTGTTGGAGATCACAGGGGATGATCCCCAACGCCAGTCGGCAAGGCACAATGATGATGATGAATCTATTGTGCTGGTGAGTCTGAATGTCTTAGTTTCATTTAACCAAATGAAAATCATTTTTTTAATTGTCCACAAATTTGTGTGTGTGTGTACTCTCCTTTTATTTCCTGTGCTTTTTCAAACGTTTGAAGCTTTCACTTTCGCTTACCTCATTATGTTACTGCTTATTAGTTGTTCTGGAAGCTTGTGGCAATCAGTTTTCAATTACTTAAACTCATGACACCTGGTTGTTCTGACAGCGCCTGAATTTAGGCGCTAAAAACAGCCAAATTACTTCTTTGTAGGATTTTTAAAGACCTCACTTATAAGGGTCCAGTAAAGAATTAAAATGAGAATTGCTGTATGGAACAGAAACTAAAGCAACTGCAAAATAGAAGCATTCATCAATCAATGCCTGTGCAGAATAGGGACGACCACAGTGTAGACATATGGTGCCCGAAAAGCACAATGTCTCCCTCCACCAATAAAGAAACAATCTTACTTCTTCCCATTCACCGTATCACATTACCTTTCCCTTCAGACCCTGCAAGGTGTCTCCCCATATTACCTCAATTCTGCCAGGAGAGGAATCATTCTGTGAACAAACATTACTCTATCAGCCTTTTTCTTCCTCAGAAAACAAAGAGGTAGTGTTATTTCCTCTCTGCTTTCAACATAGCATTACTGTCACACAAGCATTAGCGTCAAGTAACACCACTGATCATACCTTTCCTGTGAGGTTCTGCAAGTTGTCTCCCCCGATGACTTCAATACTGCCAGTTGATGAATCATTCTGTGAACAAAAACAAATCTACTCGTTTTATCTGGCAACATTCAACATCCCATCAATCATATTTTTTTTTCTTCTATAATGAACTGACTTACCTCTAAAATAGATGTAGTTTAATGGTTTTCTGGGCATGGATACAGACACAACATGTCTAGCCGCTATGCTATTATTTATTAATGTATTTTTACCCATACTCTGTTATATTTCACTGATCTGGAGTACACCTGGCACACTCTGATAGCCCATGACATATATATTATGGTGATATACTCTGACAGTGATAAATGTTTTGAATGATATGCTCATAATATGGCACCACAGGAGGCTGTAAGGGGCCTATTTCCACAACTCCCAGAAAACTAGCTAGTATTCTGTCACACAGGAATGGATCAATTCAAGTTGTACAATGTCTAAAATATATGCTGTAGAAATTTATTTTCAGTTTAGGCTGGATTGTGTACCTAAGTTTTCTATAAAAAAAAAGTTACAACTACATGAATTAATATTGGTTCTTTCATTTTTAAAATGTAACTAGAACACCTCCTATCCAGTGCTCAACTTTAGAAATAAACAATAAAAGATAACTTTCTGAAGTTACAGTAACAGATTCTCTAAACAGAATAAATTCATAATTTATGTTCGAGTATTGCTTTCTGATGACACACAAGGTGTTAAATGAATATGATCTACAAAATAATACTTTTTTTCGCGAAAGAAAAGTAATTACCTAACTATAAAACAATGTACAGATATGCAATTTACAAAGTATATAATTAAACTAACAAGAAAATCTGTTTAAGCTTATTACAAAATAGACATGTAAAAGCCATTGCAACCGTGAAATAAAAATATTCACACTGAAACAATTAATGAGCGATGAGAAACTCAACACTGTCAGTATGAACAATTGTAGCCAGAAATGAACCATACTAGAAAAAAGGGCAATTTTTGGGGTAAGTACACTTTCACTGCATCTAATGTAAATGAAATAATGATGTCAGAACAATAACAAGACACATGCTGGTACATGGAATAAGAATTCCATGTCACTTTTCTTGCAAGGTAAGACAAACTGACATTGTAGCACACAAGGAACATCTTTACAAAAATCCTTGCTCTGGGAATTAGCAAAAGCTGACACAGAACAGCTGACGAATAAAGACTGCCCAATAAAGACATAACATCACAGCTTTTATTCATTCATCAAGGGTGGCTTCTAATGCTGGGTTCTCATGAAGCAACCCAGGTTGGAATCATCAAAAAGAAGATACCAAAAATTTCAGTCCAGGCAAAAATAAACATATCATGGGCACTGAACTAGTTATGCAGCCCTAAATTCTCAGATTCAACACTTCACTTTCCCTTCGCTACATGACCCTAAATGGGTAGTCAGGTTTTTAATTACTTCTGTAACCCACCTTTATTATAGAATAATGTGGAGAGAGAATGAAGCACCCTTGACCCCATGAATGGCGTCAAATATAAAATATTTTTAAAGATAGACCCTATTTCAATATCTTCAAGTTCGCTTTAAACCAAGCCAATCTTAATTTTACATTTCAGATTCTCTACCTGAAGGAAGAAACCCCCCCCCCCCCCCCCTCCAAACGTAATGAACCGGGCATCCAGGTAGTCTGCTGTGCTTATCACTCACGTTTCATACCTACACCATCCACACACCTGATCAATGGTGAGCACTCCTTCACCCTCATCAAGACATTTCCATGCTTAGATTGGTCCAATTAGTCACTTCCCAGGCCACATCAACTTCATCTTCAGGCATTCAAAAACAAACAGCAAAAACATACAGGAAACCTCGCCAGCAAGCAATCATTAAATTAAGGGCCCTGATAAACTGCTTATGTCCCCACCAAGAAGCCACAGGAAAAATAACGAGGTTGTTGACTATATCAAGAAGCCACAGAAAAAGGTTTGGTAACGAGGTTGTGAAACTATAGTCACTAGCTAATGTTTATAGGAAACATGAGCTCACCATATGCCATCCAGGACCAGGCTACCCTGTAAACATAATATGCTCTGATATAACTGTTTTCTACAGTTGAATTCCCCACCTTAGACTGGAGGAGAGTCGGCACAGAACCAATACTGAACTTTATCGGTAGACAACAGATCCAATGGTTAGGCAATATAACAAGATTGAATAAGCCAGGGCACCACAGAGAGCAATGTTATACAGATACAGTGAGAACAAACATACCACACTCAGCCAACAAGCATGATGCAAAATCAACTAACTAGGGGTGTTTCCTTTGAAGTCGGAGGGCATCTGCCTGAGAGGCCAAGAACCAACACTCTGCTGACAAATAAGCCAAATCTGCTCAACAGATGTATATGCAAAACTCAAGTTATAGAATGAGACTAAAGTGCAGAAGGAGATGAATGACTTAACTTTTCTGACAGATTTTACAGCCACTGAATGTTTTGCATCCCAACAGTGGCTCTTTGAGTCACCCTGTTTCAATCTTTTAGACAGCAATACCAGAGAGAGAGGAGAGAGAGAAAGAGAGAGAGATGAGACACAACAAGATTTCTTTTTAAAGTATACTTTGAATTTAATAAAAACACGTTTTAAATAGAGGACAGAATCCAAACATTCAGTAACAGCTAACAAGTCTCTTTCTTCTTCTGCCACCATTCAAACAAACCCGCCTCGGCTGCCTCTTATGACACACACAAGTTGTATGATATAATCTTGGTAGCAGCACATGGTTTGAAACAAGTCTTTAGTTATCAATAAAAACATTAGGCGTGTATTGATTGGCACTCACAGAAATAAGTGAAGACAGGAAGGCAAAAGAGACGACATAAAAATCCAACCTAGAGTAAGTCGTGGACAGTATCCTTTACACTGCCCTTGGCTACCCAGCAATTGGTTCTAGACTTTAAAATAAAAATTTTTTTTCTAAGATCTGTCAGCTCTTGATGGGTGATATGGTCAACATGAAGGCGGCCATCTTTATTCCTAGGATATTGCCTGGGACCCATTTTAGTCTACGTCAACAGGGAAGTAAAAGTAAAGATCTCCTTCCACGCCTTCATCGGGCATATGGGAAGAGCACCCATATTTTTGCAGACCAATCGGCACTAGGTGGGTAATGTGGTCAGCATTACGCCGGCTGTCTTTGCTTCCCCAGGACATCCATCTTGGTACCCATTTTAGGCTGGGTTGACCTGCAACGCCCCATACCATGATAAAAACCATGCAGCCTGTAGTGGGCTTCAATCCTGGTATGTTGGAATTACCAGTCGGACTCGCAACGCCTAAGCCACTGACGCCATGACAAGGAAGCCAATGTCAATTTTAAAAAAAGCCACATTAATGGTTAATGTTTAGTTAAGAATTAACATCACAGCACTCGGAACATTCCCATAAACATCCTACTAGTAAAAGTGTATCTAGCTGCTATACCACTACAGTTCCCATGCAGTTATGCATCTA